ACCCGGGTCACTTGGCTGAGGATGAAAGGTTTGCTCCATCTTGAGTGTCCCTTGGTGTGGAGCAAAGCTGGAAGCTGCTGGGGGGTTTTGTTTTCCCATCACCTCCCCAATTGCCAGCACCCATGACCTTCTCCTCACCAGCACCGATGATCTTCCCATCATGAGCATCTACCACCTCCCCATCACCAGCACCCATGACCTCCCCATCACCTCCTCATGACCAGCACCCATTGTCAGTACTCATGACCAACCCCATCACCAGCACCCATCACCTCCGCATTGCCAGCACCCATTGCCTCCCATGTTTGGAGCAGTCTCTGGGAGAAGGTCAAGCCAATTCTTGATTTTCACTGTCCTTAACTGTGCCCTCATTAGTGCGGCAGGATAATTAACCTAATAAAACTGCCCACTGACCCATAAAATCCCGTGGTTTACGGCCGAGTCCTTTTTATGGCACCTCAGACGGGACGTGGGGTAGGATGGGAAAGCGGTGGGGCCACCACGGTGGGAGGCAGGAGCACGCAGCGGCTGCTGGGTATTTTGGCAGCCGGTTTCCATGGAATATCTCCGAGTGGAGCTGGAGGGGTCGATGCTTTGCTGCAGGAGGGTGCAAGCGGCCAACGTTGAAGCCTCACACGGCGTTTTCCCGGTAGCGTTGCTCCGCGTCTGGCTTTGAGTGGTCCGATCCAGGGAACGGCTGCAAAAAATACCCCAAACCAGATGGTTAAAGCACTCGGTCGGATCATCCCGAGCCTGCGCGGCTCCTAAGGCAAGCCCAGATGTGCGCAGATGTGCGCGGCGACGTCTGGGTTTGCATTTGCAGACGAGGCGGCGGAGGCAGGCGGGGAGGCTGACGAATTTGTGGAAAAAGAGAAAGTTGGAGGCGGAGAGGGAAACCACTCCGGTGGGGAAACCTCCGCGGGGCCCTGTTGCCCCCACGCGAGCCCGGACACGCCGAGGCCGGTCGGTCCCGCGAGTCTTCATGGGGATGAGGAGGAAACTCTGCAGAGCCTGGCATAAATCCCATTGGGGTTTCATGTGCAAAATAGGATTTTTGGAAAGGCTGAGTGTGGGCATGATCCCACAACGGCTGCGGGAGTCTCCAGGGAAAGGCTTTGGGTAAAATTTGGGCTCTGGTGGCTTGGGTTTTATTTTAGGCACCGTTTTAGCAGAGGTTTCCAAACCGCAGGGTCTGCAGGGCAGCGCTCCTCGAGTCAGGCTTTCCTACCCCCAGCGAAGGGACCGCGATCCCACTTTTGGGTCTGCCAGACGTCACCATGGCGGAGGAGGGAGGTTGGGATGGGGCTGCTGGGATGATGTTTGGGACAGGGACGTGCCCTGCTCTGACCCCGACTCTGGGAAGGTCTCACCTGTGAACTGGAGCCGTGTTGGCTCCGCTCCACACGTAACACCTGAGCTGGGTGGATCCCTGGAGGTAAATACGGGGCTGAGGAGCTGCTTACCCAAGGTGGAGGTGCCCACGTGTCCGTCGGGCACGGACGCCTTCCCTGTCCCCGGCCACGATGGGAGCGTCGCCACGGCCAAGGGTGGCTGAGAACGTGTGGGCTCAGTAGGGCTTGGGGATGTGGTGCTGGTCCAGGTCCCCCCCCTGCCCTTAGGTACTGCACCCTGCTGTGCCCTGGGGGTCCCTCTGGACACGGGACGGGGGTCTGGGATCAGCGGTTAAGCAGCACAGGCGAGGAGAGGGCTGGCCAGGAGCTGGTGGAGCTCTTCAGCATGGGAGGGAACCAGGAAAGCCCGGCTTGTTTAGTCTAGCAAAGCCAGGGAGGCGGCCGGCTGCAGTCTGCACATTCCTCCCAGAGGGATGGAGCGGGGATAAGAACCACCAGGAGTTGGGGGGAATTTACTTTTGAAGGGAAATTAAGTTCTTGGCTGATCTGCTGTCTGTCGGCTCCGGGACAAGAGGAAAGTTCAGCCCCAGCCTGACGCGCAGGAGGAGAAGCAGG